CTGTAATTTGACAGTCTGTTCGATGCTTTACTGCCTCTGTATCTATCTTTTTGTTCATCGGGTTATAATGTTCTTTATTATCCATAAATAAGTGAGAACATGTGGTATTTTTCTTTCACTGACTGGCTTATTTCACTTAGCATAATGTTCTCCAGTTCCATCCTTGCTGCTGCAAATGTTAAGAATTCCTTCTTTTTTATTTTTTTTTAAGCAGCGTAATATTCCATTGTGTAGATGTACCACAGTTTTTTAATCCACTCACCTGCTGATGGGCACTTAGGCTGTTTCCAGATCTTAGCTATTGTAAATTGTGCTGCTATCAACATAGGGGTGCATATGTCCTTTCTGATTGGTGTTTCTGATTTCTTGGGATATACTCCTAGGAATATATCTCAACCTGTCTCTTAATATTTGTTCTAGGAGCTGCCACCCTTTGAACTCTGCTATGTAGCAGTACCTGCTTTTTGCAGCAATATCTGTTAGGTAAGGGATATCCTAATTTTACAGCTTGCACACCGGTATCGGCCCAGCTAACACTAGGCAAAGCCATGACTCTACTGGCCACATTATCCCAGTGACAGGTGAAAGCATGTTTTTCTTAAGACTTGCTCCCCACACACACCTGCTGTAGCCAGGCTGGTTACTCAAAGAAAAGACACTGCTCTTCCTCCTCCCTGGATTTCTGCCTCCTTCTACACGAAAAGTTATTTTCTGGTTGCTTGTTCAAATCTTTCAAATCTTTACATTCACCTTGCTACTAACATGAAGGGTGCTCTGATGGAGAACCCAGCAGTAGCTTTTCCTTCTAGAGCACATGATGCCATTCAAGGCACACTTGGCGAAGGACTTGTTATTAGCACTTATATATTATACAGTGAGCTCATTATCTTACCCTCTAATTAGATATACCTTTATCAGGGGCAGGAGTTGTGTCTTAAATATTGCCTTTGCCTGCCCCTTGCTAGAGACCAGAGTTTCTTAATTTCAGCACTATTGACATTTTGGGTCAGTTCTTTCTTCATTGTGGAGGTTGTCACGGGCATTGTAGAATGTTTAGCAGCATCCCTGGCCTCACCTGCTAGGTGCCAGTAGCACCAATTTTCCAGTTCTGACCATCAAAGTGGTCTCTGTATATTGCCAAATATGCCCTCAGAGGCAAATCTATTCCTATGTGACTATCACTGCCATGGACCTAGCACTTAGAAAATACTCTTCAGTGGACCACAATGATAGTGCTTGTTCTGTGAACATCACTGTGTCCACTCATTTGGACTCCATTGTCTTCTTATTCTGCCCTCTTGTATTTGTGAGGGCAAGATTTTGTTTTAAACGAAGAACCCATCATTTAATAGAGTGGTGGACAGTGATAGTTCAACGCTCTTTGGCAAAACATTCTGATATCCTAGGGATGACATTCTGATTGACATTTTAAGAGGTAGGTTTTCTTAAAATGGAAGCATGATTGACCCATTAACATAATTGTCCCATGTAGGTTCTGGTTCTCACTGTAGCTGTTTATTATAACTAACTCATTTTCAAAATGGAAAACAGCCAGCTGAGAGTATTGTATTATTTTTAATCCTATACTAGATAACTCAATAACTCAATGTCCAAACACCTTACTTTTTGATCAAACACTTCAGGGGCAGTCAAGTGGTTATTAAAGTGAATAAACTAGCCATTTAATGAGTAATTTCATGTATTACATGACTTAAAAGATTGGGCAAATGGGATTGAATCTGCTGTGAGTTCACATCCATCCTCGAACATGTGTCTGGTATGAATTAGGAGTCCTTATGAGTCCCAGGCTTTATACAGTGCCTTGTTTTGCTTAACCCAATATCTTTCCTTCCCTAGCATTACTGTTATGACTAATACCCATGAAGCACCCGTGAGGGCTGTGCTGGACATTTGCTGTTTTTGTCTGAGGATTATTCCTTCTCCCTGAACCTGCCAACGAAAGACCTTCCTGGCCTGGCCATACATAGTGACTGATCCCCCTGGGCAAGGTAATGAGTTCCGGAGTGTGCATGTGACTTCATCTGGGCCACTCAGGGTCCTTCCTCAGTAGTTCCTCAGGGCCATGTTGAAGGGCACACAGACCAAGAAGGGTGTTCACTGAAGCTGGAGCATCCACTGTGGAAAAAGCTCATCAGTAGAGAGGGTCGTGCAGCCCAAAGGAAACAGCCCTGTTGGAGGAGAGTCGTAAAACTTTTGAGTTCCTCAATTGAATTTGCTGAAGCTAGACTTCTCAGTTTAGTGACACTTTTCTCCTTAAGCTTCTTGATTTGGATTTGTAGCACTTGGACAAAAGCATCCGTATTAATTCAGGGTAATTCCCATTGGTGGACAGGTTGGAATCGTTTGGGTGGTGAGGACAGCTATTCCCACTTTACTGTACTTTCACTTACATATTTTTTCTTGCAGCCCTTTCTTTAGATGATAGATGGAAATGGCCTGTGGAAAACAATACAACAAAGGACCTTTGGTGGTTCTTAACTGTGGAAACATCTAAGTCAGTGATTTTAAATGAAGTTAATTTTATTACTAGTGATTTTAAATAAGGTTAATTTTAAGAGGGGTTAATTTTATTACTAATGCTCCATTTTAAAAATAACAGAGAATCTCAATTTTCCTAAAGCACTCTCCTCAGAGCTTGAATTGTATTGCACAGATGCAGCAGTTCAGTTCACAAGCAAAAACTGGTTTCATACTACCAGAGGAAAGGACTAAATGAAGCTATTTTGGGAGCAGTAATACCTTCTTAAAACCTCAAAGATACTTGAGCACATTACCTTAACAACTAATGTATTCTCCTGATCATTTACAATATGAAATACTGAACAGTAAGAACACTGTGAACATTTTTAATCTTCTTACACGAAATAAATGTAGTCTGAAAAGCCCATTATACACCAATACATGCAGAGACTCTTCCTTAAAATACAGGGGAAAAATGTGAAATGTATATATTGCCACAGTTCCTTAAGTTTTGAGAACAGTTTTGCTCTTGTCCTGAATATGATTTTTGTCCATAAAAGGAGAAAATGAAACTCTTAGGGATAGTTATCCAAAGAGGGGAAATAGAGGAGGGAAATTGTGTTTGCGGTTAATGAGACATGGTGCATTGCTAGCCTGGGCTGGAGGCAAGTACTGGTAAAGTGATTGGAGACGTGGGAGGCACCAGAGAGGAGAAGACAGTTACTGATGAGCCATTTCCTACTGTAGATACTTTTTGGAGGTCAGAAGTTCAATTTTACATTCCGTTGTTTACATGCCTTTGTATCTCCAGGTTCAAATCTAAAATCTCTCATGGGTGCTCCATAAGCATTTGATGAATGAATGGAGAAACAGATCACTTCATTTTATTGCTAGGCAGAATAGTTTGGTATACTTTGGGATTCTTCAGGTTTTATGAAATTTTAAATGCAGGATCAACTCCTATCAACTAACTTGGAATCCTAATGTAAGTATTTTATGTTAGAGTAAGAGAAAGTAGAAGGCAAGAATGCATTAGCTTAAAACCTAGGCACCAAAACGAAGATAAAATATATTTATAACTGTGTTAAAGGGAAAAATGCATAGAAGTGGTGGGAGTATAAATGAGTAAAATCTGTTTAGAAAATTGTTTGACAGTTGAGCATCCATGTTCCCTGTGAGCCAGCAAGTCCACTCCTGGGTGCCCAACAGAAAAGTGGAACTTCATGTTGAATAGGGGAGGCTGGGTAAAGGGTACAAACTTGCAGTTACAAGATGAATAAAGTCTGAAGATCGGATGTATAACAGTGTGGCTATAGTTGATAACACTGTATTATATAATTGAAATTTGCTAAGAGCAAAGAACATAAATGTTCTCTCAAAAAGAAAAGGGTAAATATGTGAGGTGATAGATGTGTTTATTAACTTGATGGGGGGATATCCTGTCACAATGTATACATACATATATTAGTACCTTTATCTTACAATTTTATTTGCCAATTATACTCAATAAACCTGGACAACAACAATAACAACAAAACACTACATGCCGGGTTCCTAGGTCCCTGAACAGTAAGAACACTCTGAACATTTTCAATCTTCTTTCTTCCCAAAAGAAATACATACAAATGTGCACCAAAAGACATGTATGAGTATTTTCAGAACAGCATTATTCTAATAGCCAAAAATTGGAAACAACCCAAATGTGCATCAATAGTAGAATGGATAATAAATTTGTGTCTTATCCATGCAATGAAATACTATACATAAAATAAATGATAAAACCACAGCTATATTCAGCATCATTAATAAATCTAATGTGCATATGTTGAACAAAAGAAGTCAGACCCAAAGAAACACACACTATCTGAGCCCAACTACATGAAGTAGGAAAACAGGCAAAACTAATATAGTCAGAATAGTGGTTAAGATTGGGAAGGAGAAAGGGATGATGCTAGGAGAAGGGGTAAATGGAATTATTGAAGTGCTGGCATAGTTCTATTTGCAGACATAGGTGTTAGTTACACATGGTTCTTCCTTTTGTGCTAATGTGCTGAATTGTAAATCCTTAGGTCTGTACACTTTCTGTTTAGTAGCAAAAACAAGTTAAAAGAAAAAAAGATACAACTATCTAAAATCTCTTATAAAAAGTTGACCTTCTTTCCAACTCAAATATAGCTGTAATCATTGCCTCTTTACTATAAACAAAGATGCAGGATGGGGGAGATAGCATCATGGCCACAAATTTCTCTAATTGCTCCCTGCATGCCCCTTATCATTAAGAGGTACGCTCTATGACTCCACCATTGGGACCAATAGAGAAACCCAACACTGAATCTGAGTTTTTATTTGAATGCTAGTTAGAATTTCAGCCCTTTTACAATAGGAATATATTTTTACATCTCTGCGAGAGGTTTGAATCGGGGTATATCACTTGCTTTGACCAATGGATCATTAACAAACATGATGCACAGGGATGCTGGAATAGGTCTCATTCATGGGGCTTGGCCTCTTCTGATGCTGAAAATCTTTCTTCCCCCAAGTGCATGAGCCCAGGCTAGCTTGCTGGTTAAGAGGCCAGGGCAATTCCCCTGGCCCACACAGAGCTAACTGCCACATATAAGTGAGTCCCTACCCTCAGCCCATCAGCCTGCTAAGCGCCAGACATGAGTGAGCCCTGGCCTGTCTGGTATAGGCCAGAAGAACTACCACGCCAACCCTCAGAACTTTAAGAATTAATGAATGTTTGCTCTTCAAGCTACTGGTTTTGGAGTAGCCTCCTTTACAACAGAAGCTAGTTGATATGCATAATGATCCCTGAACTTTCTGCCAAGCAACGTAACCCCATATTCTATTACACAATTAATAAATGCTTTGAATTAATGATGGAGATTTCTTCTTGTTCTTTTAGTCTTTTATCCTAAATAGTCAGTTTTACAACATAAATCCCAATATTTCGTTTCACACATGTTAAACTATTATAAATGTCTGTTGCCTTGTTTTATTAAGGTGCTTTGTTTTGTTTTACTATACCAACCTCTGAAAGCTCCTAGAATGACCTTCAAATATATTAAGGTTTTCCCCACAAACTGTCTTCTGTTTAGAAAATAATAGTCAAAACTATTCTAAAGCACCTGCATCAATTTTTTATTTAAGGAAAATATTTTCTGTCAGAGAAATGTTGAACAAATTTACTAGGAGGATTGTGATTATCCTTTCCTTTAATCCTTTAAAGAAAGACCTCTCCTTTTGGGGCATATCTATTTTTTTGGGGGGGGGGGAGGGGGGCATATCTTAAGAATATCTCTTGATCCCAGCAACCCTATGACTTCAAATGAAACATAAAGAAGAAAATCCAGGAAAAGAAAGTTGCATACATTTATTGCAATGTAGTAAAACTGTCAATTTTTTTTTACCCTCACTTGAAGATATGTTTATTAATTTTTAGAGAGAGAGGGGAAGGAGGAGAGAGAGAGGAACATTGATCGGTTACCTCCTGTAGTTACCCCAACTGGGGATCAAACATGAAACCCGAGGTATTTACCCTGACCAGGAATTGAACCCATAACCTTATGGTGTATGAGAAACAAGCTCCAACTAACTGAGCTGCCTGGGCAGGGCAGACTGTCAATAATTTTAATAATGTCCTTAACTTTAAAAAACTGTTGGCTTCTAATATGAGTTTTTAGGAGAATCCTACATAATCAATTAGATCTGTTGACTCTATCATTTTAGGTCATATCCCTATCTCTTGGTCCCTGTCCCTCTGCGGTGTATTATTGATCAGAGGTGCAGAATTAGGGAGATTGGTGAATGTGACTTCAAGGAGAAAACCTACCCTGGTACATGCTCTACTGATAGAGGTTCAATAGCAACATTTATTTATTTTTTTAAATTGTTTTATTGCTTAAAGTATTACAAAGAGTATTACATATGTCTCCTTTTTTTCCCGCCCTTGACAATCCCCTGGCCTCCCCTACCCCCAGTGACTTATGTCCATTGGTTATGCTTATATGCACGCATACAAGTCCTTTGGTTGATCTCTTACCCTCCCCTCCTGCCTCCCAACCCTCCCCGGCCTTCCCGCTGTAGTTAGACAGTCTGATCGATGCTTCTCTGTCTCTGAATCTGTTTTTGTTCATCAGTTTACATTGTTCATTATATTACACAAATGAGTGAGAGCATGTGATATTTATCTTTCTCTGGCTGGCTTATTTCGCTTACATAATGCTCTCCAGTTCCATCCATGCTGTTGCAAATGGTAAGAATTCCTTTTTTTACTGCAGCATAGTATTCCATTGTGTAGATGTACCACAGGTTTTTAATCCACTCATCTGCTGATGGGCACTTAGGCTATTTTCAAATCTTAGCTATTGTAAATTGTGCTGCTATGAGCATAAGGGTGCATATATCCTTTCTGATTGGTGTTTCTAGTTTCTTGGGATATATTCCTAGAAGTGGGATCACTGGGTCAAATGAAAGTTCCATTTTTAGTTTTTTGAGGAAACACCATAGTGTTCTCCACAGTGGCTACACCAGTCTGCATTCTCACCAGTAGTGCAGGAGGGTTCCTTTTTCTCCACATCCTTGCCAGTACTTGTCATTTGTTGATTTGTTGATAGCCATTCTGACAGGTGTGAGATGGTACCACATTGTCATTTTGATTTGCATCTCTTAGATGGTTAGTGACTTTGAGCATGTTTTCATATGTCTCTTGACCTTCCTTATGTCCTCTTTCTGTTTTTATACCACCACTGCACTGGAAAGTATATTAGAAATGTCCAAACCAGGAGCAGACAAAAGAATCTTAGGAAGCCATATACTAGTAAATTCCTTCCGAGACTCAACTAGGAAACAGAAGTAACCAAGAGATTTTTCTGTGAATAGAACTGAAAACCTGTGGATTTGTGGTTTGGGGCCTCAGCAGAGAAAGAAAAAGGCACAGCAGCAGATACGGTGTGAAGCCCACTAGGTGCTGGATGAAAACTCAGACACTGCAGGACTTCCCAGCATAGAGGAGCGGTGATAACTG